GCTGTCAAGGATGAGGGGGTTCGCTCCAACCAGCAAAATATGGCCGCCGATGCCCGTTTACTGAGCAGTCGTGCCTGTCGCCATCCCACTCGCTGACTTCGCTGGCGATAATATCAGGCACAAAAAGGCAGACCGACGGAGAGCAGAAGCCCCAAATACTCGAGCCCCGCCTAATACAATAGAGCGGAAACGCTGTAGCCATGTTAAACCTAGGAAAGGTTGACATGGCGACAGTGTTCACGTTTTAGGCAACGAAAAGCATGGCGTGTGGTATGAGCCGGGTCCTTACACGAGGTGCAAGGTGAGCCCTGAGAACGTGTCTGCTGCCCTGGAGTACTTCACGAAAGACGAGCTGCAATGTTTGCGCCTAGGTCCCAGCCAGAAGGACGTGATCTCTGTCATGCTCGACGGGGAGAAGACGTTCGTGCCGAAGCGCTTCCTGACACGCTCAATCCGAGAAGTTTTTCGTGTATGCGAAGCAAGCATCCTGATTCCGGCGTTGGGCTAACGAAATTTTATTCCTTGCGGACTAGATGGTCAAATGTATTTCACACCAGGAAGTGTGCGTTTGTGTGCGCTGCGCCAATTATTACCTTTGTATTGCCGCTGTGGAGAACGTTACAGGCTCAACATTCAACACTGGTGAAATGAACTCAGAATTTCTGTGCGACCCACTAACAAGTCTGTGTCTTTATGGAGAGTGTGAACACTGCCCAAAAGGCCAGTCTCTTACACTCGAGGAACTTCATGCCAGTGTTGCAGAATGGGCACCCCCATTCCATTCCTATTCCATTCCGGGGAATTAGAGTTTTCGATAATTCCATTCTTTTCAATTCCTAGGAATGGGGACACTGGGCCCATTCCCACTCCTGGAATGGCTGAATCGTTCCATTCCATTCCTCTAATTCCTAAACGTTAAAAGCGTCACTTCACTGCTGCATTACGTTGCAGGGTTGGACAGAATTATTCAAAGATGTATTTGGAAATACAAATACTGGGATAGATGAAAATAGTTGCTAAGATACTGATTCTGAAGTCTCAAATATATATGTAAAAATGTATCGCGATACGTATCGAAAATACATTTTAAAAAAAGGCAAAAAGTTTTTGGAAACACAAATACAGGAATACATTTTAGGGAGGGCAGAAATGTAAATCTGATAACGCAATACATTTTTCAAATTTCTTTGAGACGCCAACTGAGGTGAGGCTTTAATTTTGAAGTGGAGGCTTATTTGTTTTTTCATGTCCAAGGTGTTGCCTTGAACATGAAACTTTACCCACGCTGTTGTATGAAAGGACAGTATGTACTTTCGTTGTAGGTGACCTCGTTGAAGACCATGCAGGCAGTTGATTTGAAATTTTCGAGAAAACTGAAGCACATGTCTTATCTTTTGTTACGGTTGAAAAATCGATACGGTAGCATCCCTGTTGTGACGGTCCTTCCTGCCGACTCTCCGCCTCCAACGCATGAATGGCAGTCTTCAAGTTTCGCCTAGCATCATTCAAACAGAAACCTCGTGGATTGCGACCTGAGATGGCCGGCACAGGTGCGAGCTCTCCGAGAAACAGCGCACTCGAGACGAGTTGCAGGTGTACGAAGTCTGGGTCCGCACAGCGAGGCCACATTATGCCTCCTTCCTGGGTATCGGATCACCAGAGCAGCGGGTCACGTTCACGTCTGCTGATGACGTACCCTTGAGCCGTGCAATATTACAGGCGCAGACGCTTTCGGATATGTGCTGAACTTCACTGGTGAAAGGCGCCACACCCCCCCCCTTTCCCCTCTGTTCTTTGCTTTGACGCTTGTTTTTTCAGAGCGCAGCTCTTAGGGGCCCGTTCCCGGCTTGAGCGGCGTCGGCGTCGGCGTAATCAAGGTCACCCCAAGGTCACGCGACCCCCCAAGGTCATCCCAAGGTCACGTGATCCCCAGAGGTCACGTGACCCCTCCCCAGGGTCACGTGACCCCCCCCCCCCCCCCCCGAGGTCACGTGACCACCCCCAGGGTCACGTGACCCCCTTGCCGAGGTTACGTGACCTCCCCGATGATGTCATCGTCACTGATGACCTCACCGGCATCCGTATCGTCATCGTCATCATCACTGATGACGTCACTGATGACGTCACCGGCATCCGCATCGTCATCATCACCGATGACGTCATCAGTGACGTGACTGATGACATCATCGGCATGGTCACGTGACTCCCCAAGGTCACGTGACCCCCACCCCCAGGTCACTTCACCCCCCAGTACCCTTCCCTCCTCATCCTCAAGAGCTGCGCTCTAATTCGGTGTTACAGGGAGTTGTAAACGGCTTTCACTTTTTGTATTGCATTTTTTTGCGTATAAGTCTCTTAGGGCGTCACTTGGGTTCGCAGATTCCCGCTCATTTTATTTCTGAACAACCAACTCGATGTAGCGGAAGACTAAAAAAAAAATAAAAAAAAAGTACAAAGAATTGTGCCCATTCCATTCCCATTCCATTCCGGGCCAAAGGCATCTAATTCCATTCCCATTCCATTCCCCTGAACGTTGCCGCCATTCCATTCCCATTCCATTCCGGGGTCGCGCAAATGCGGAATGATCCTGGAATCATTCCAACTCCGGAGTGGCAACTCCGCAACACTGCTTCATACGCCAGAGGATGAAGAGATTATGCTTACAACATGGGAGTCCGGCGACCTTGTGAAACAAAAAAAAAAAAAGAACAAAAAAAAAAACATTGGATCTTGAGATTGTTTTAAAAGGCTTTCAAGTAACAGCTGAAAGTTGGATATTTCACAGCCATATCCAACACACGCAAGATAAAGCGATCTACGATGAAAGGTAGCTTGCGATCTACGATGAAAGGTAGCGGCGTTGCGCGAGCATTGTCTTTCATTTTGACTTTGCTGAAAACCGGACCATCGTGCTTCCAGACAAAGTTAAAGCATACCACTGAAGAAACAAAAGCTACGATATTTACATGTGTAGTGACTTGAAGAAAATCTACAAACAGCGTTGCTATCATTAGTGAGGACCTGTGTGACGACGTCGCTCTCACGTGCTTGGCTCTAGAAAAAGTGAAAGAGTGAGTTGAAGACAACGTTGCGGTATACTCGCACGTGACGTACGTAAGTGACGGGGCCGCCAGTCATTTTAAAAATCGCTGCCAGCTTTACCATTTTGCACAGAATGATTGCCCACAAGCCCAGTGGTTCTTTTCTGGATCTGGACATGGGAAAATGCGTGCGACGGAGTTGGCGGACTCGTGACGCACCAGGCCACGCTGAACAACCTGAGAGAATGTTCAATAAACGCAATTCAGACGGCCAGGACAAAGGTGAGCGTTCTAATTGATAAACGGGGTACATCTTGCGTATCTGGACGAAAATGAGCTTGTTCAATATCGTCAAAAAAAAAAAAAAAAAAAAACTTTTCTGGCATTTAGTTTTGGCACGCGTGGCGGCTGTGCAAGTCATCAACAGAATGAATCTGTGACATCTATGTAGCACGAACAGCCGGATCTGGTTAGAAGAAACTTTATTAAATGGGTACATAAAGGAAAGCCTTCGTGTAAAATGCTGAATTTGATGCCCCAACGACTGCTAATTTTGAGTAGTGCAGGGGGATCTCATTTATCACAGTTTTCTTCGCGGGGTATTGAACCTACTATTTTACGTGCTGATAGCTTATAATCTTTATCTGGTCACCATACGAGAATCACGGAACGTTATCTTCGCGCAAGATAAAATATTTCGGCTGGCCACGATCCTACACCGAGAGTATCGAAGCTCTTAAGGCCGGTTCAGACACTTGCGTTTGAGTGCGTTTGACTGCGTTGCGTCGAGAACCGAAAGCGAGTCACCGGCACATCTGTGCTTCGTATGAAGCGTGGACTCCAATTCAAGGAATCATCATGGCACGCGATATAAGCAGCAGGGATGTCCTGGTTTCTTGCTGCCGCAACGCAGTCAAACGCAGTCAAATGCAACTGTCTGAACCAGGCTTTAGAGTCCGGCGCGGTGGCACCGCTCACCTGAAATGGTGTGTCCCCGGAAATACTTAACTAACCTAAACAATTTTAGTATTCTATCTTTCTTGTTGTGTGTGGAAGTAAAGTTGTTTCTTTTCTTCCAAATATAAAATACACCGGAAAGTAAAACTTCACACTGCATCATCTTCTCTCGAATCACTAGACTCTAATATACCTCCTAGTACGCTGTATGTAAAATGCTTTATATAGTTTCTCCTCATTTTGAGTGTGTGACCGATTGCTCTAGTTGTCAGTGACCTCATCTGAATAAAAATATATGAAAGATGTGTTTTAGTTTCCTGAAACTGGAACTCGTGTAGGCTTTGAAAAAGGACCCTACTTTAGGGAGTTGTTTTTTCTTTCTCAATATAATAATGCAACATGTTTTTAATAGAAATGAATGCCGAAATAGAGTACGACAAGGTACCCAAATTTAAAAAAAATAATCGAAGGTGGTTTTCTTTTATTTGCATTGGAAAGTTTAGTTGTTAGATTATTTTCTCATGTTTGCCTAAATATATCACGACTATCGTATCACTCAGATACCTTATTTATTTGTTAAATAATAGCCATATATAATTAGAATATTATCTGCAAATTATATGATGATGATTAAATTATTTTATGAGATACAGGCCTCCAAATTTTGCCACTTGTCGTTCGAGCAAGCATGTTTGGCAGTTTGTAGAAAAATAAATAAAATTTAAATAAATATTATTACTTTATGTTACGAGCAAGCTCTACCCAGAGATTGTTTCTAAAAAGTATTAGAATTCTTCTAAGTTCATCCTTTTAGTTATTCACTTTCAAACATGCACCCTCCATCAGTTTCTTCATGCCTTACGATTTTTCCTGCCTCCTTTTCTTTTTCTGTTCAAAACTAAGTGTGCACTCGTTTATAACAGACACTAGACAATGACATATAAAAATATCAGTTGATTCAAAAATGTCGACCAGGCACCCTTTGGTCGATCTTATCTGAAATCACCCTACAGCCCCCATCTTCAACTATTTCTTCAATTTCCAAATACTTATTTAAAGATTCAGGAACCTGATGTGCTAAGCTTCGTAAACTATAATTAGTTCGAGATTTTGGTGTCATATAATTTTGATTTCTGAGATTATAAGGTGTGCTTTTACGTTGGTAGAGCTCATAGCATGCCGCCTGGTCACTACTAATCTGTTTATATATTTCTACCGCAGGTTTAACATTGAAAAGCTGATCAATACGCAGTATACGGTACTTTGAAAAATAAGGGGCTGCATGCTCTCTGGGTGATACGGTTTCAATGGTGCGTACAGCTTTTTCTTTTAACAGTAATGATTTTGTCAAGGTTTTTTTTTTGTCTGTAATAAGCGCCGCTTATAATATATACTGAAATGTTCGGTTCAGCCACTAATTTTATGCATTTTCGAAGTGAGTGTGCGAGTAGGCATTAAAAGCATCCAAAAACTCTTCAAATCGCGACATCCGAGATAGTGTGTGCCGGTGCAGAAGAGGTGAAACTGATTCTCGTGGCTGTACCAGGTTGCCGCGCGAGCTGCGGTCGGAGTCGCTCCAATTCCGGAACGTTGTTTCTGAGGAAGAGGTAGTCTGTGGCTTGATTCCAAGCGAAGCCATCGAACGAGCACACTTGAAAGTCGCACTGGAAGCAGTGGAGGCGGTCGCAGGCCCTGCAAATGGTTTCGGGGTCACTTCGGAGGGCCTTTTCTTCCCGTCGCAGTAACGCAAGCACCTCTTGGTGACGCTTGTTGACAGCCCACGAGCAGTCTCCGTGCCAGCTAGATGCACCACGTAGCACCTGGGAAAATCAACCGCTACAGGAAATTCGCTCGCTAACTCAATGTTCAAGGTGTTCATTGGCACAACTTCCACACAGCCGAGTGCCTGAGCCAGTGTTGCCAACCCCCGCGGTCAGAAACGACGATGCAGAACAATCTAGCGAATTCCCAATAAAATTTGGGAAAGAAACTCCCCAAATATTATCAGGAAATTCTTTAGATTTCCCTATATTTTTCAGAAAGTGTTTATTTGCGTGAATATTGAGATTATCATTAGGGAGCAGCTTAATAGATTCCTATGGTTGGGTGGCCATTAATAGGTTAAATATGCTTCGTAATTTACATAATTAAACTTCCTTACTTTGGCCTTGTATTACCCCCAAAATCGTTGTTGTTACCATTGGAGATTATCTCTGGTTTGACAATATACAAAGAAGCTTAGTAGGGTACGCTGTTGGGCTAGTTGGTTCATCTTAGTAAACATACCAAATAGCGCAAAAAAGACAAGGACAAGAAGCGCCTGTCCTTGTCTTTTTTGCGCTATTTGATGTGTTTTACTCCAAAGAAAATTTTTCCCGCTGCACTCGGCCGGCACGAAGAGAAAAAAGGGAAGGAACGTGCCTCTAAAACCCTCTGAAACCCATTAAAAAAAAAAAAAAAAAAAAAACAGTCCCTAGATTAGAACACATTTCCCTTTGCCCCTAAACGATGACAAATATCTCTAGATCTAGGGGAAAATCCCTAAGGTTGGCAGCGCTTGCCCGATGCAGCCAAAAGGCAGAAAGCCCGTACACCAAAGTGACGGCTGCCTCTCGTCGGCTGTATGTCAACAGGTGAAATGATGACGAATGAAAGGGAGGATGAAATGGCAGTTACACAAAGTTATTGAGCTCGGAGGGCACGCGACACACAGTCCTAGCTGCTAAAGTCGCGCAGTTCAGCGACGGATACTTACTGCCTCGTTCTTTCGGTTGATGCACCAGCTTTGTGTGTCCCAGCAGCAGTTTCTCGAGCCTACAAAGTGTACAAAGACGAAAAAAGAAAACTATCAAAAAGTTACCTCGAATGCGTTCCATACCTCTTCCGAGGAAAACCGTACGTCCGTGTCTGGTATGCTGCAGATCTCGTTGATGGCCTCGTTTAGGCTGTTTGGAGACGAGGGAGGCCTGGAAAAGGGATCTTGTGAGGCATTGGAACGGGTTGAAGGGTTCCGGTGCCGCACCTTGGCTGGTTGAGGGTAGGAGTGGGGGGAAACTTGCGTGCAGCGCAGTATTTGGACTCTACGTCGTCCAGGAGAACGTCTAGATCGTCCATTTTGCTCGTTTCGTTTTCGGATTCAGATTTGCGGCCAAGTCGGATACGCCGCCGCGCCATCTGTCGTAAGGCTGACATACCTCCAAGCGGCGCTTTGCGGATAACTCCGTCGCTCGCCGCGAGATGGTGGCGTCTGCCCAGTCATTAACAGAGGGGCGAGCCGTCGGCGGCGCAGGTAGAGATCAATCAATCAATCAATGTTTATTATACAGTGCCCAGGAACAACCCTGAGGTCTTGGTGCTGGTGCACTGGTGGATAAAAAAAAAAAAACATTATACACATCTCCGCAGAAAATAAGATACATTTTTAAGCATAATACTAGCCAGTGCACGAGTAATTAGTAGAATGAAATAAAAACGAGGAAGTAACAGTAGACACTGAGCACAAGACCGTAGGATAACAAGTGCACCACCAGAAAGCACGCCATGGAGATGACGAAATTCAGACATAACAAAGCAATTCAGCAATGCTCATCCTGCACGGGCAAGTTTTTAATAGAAAGGTCAAACGTCCTGTAGCAAGGGTGGAAAATATCAAGTTTTTCCGAGTAATGAATCACACGCTGTGCCATTCTCACAATTGGGTTTACCGGACTAAACGTTCTAGAAACATAAAAAGGTGACAGAAGACGAGTAGGCACACGTGGGACCCTAAGGCACAGTTCAGATAACAGGCTCGGGTGATGATGATAATAATCAATCAATCAATCAATCAATGTTTTTATTCGTGCCCGGGAACAACCTTGCGGTCTTGGTACAGGTGCACTGTGTTAACATGTAAGGCAGAACAGGGTATAAAGCAATAGTACGGACAACACAAACAACGGACAAGCCCTAGAAAAATACACTTAAAAATTATAAAAAGTAAACACAAAGTCACAACACACGATAAGCTTATTGGTACTACCGCCAACACCAATTGCTAGAAAGAAAGAAAAAAAAATGCATTCAAAGTGGGGAATTTCGGCGTGAACGCCGCAAGTTAGTGCATACAGTTCAAATTTAAGTGATGGCCTTTAAAGGGACACTGACACCCCCCAAAAATTTTTTTTTATTTTTTGCCAGGCGCTTCATTATGGTGTCGGAGGACTACCCAATTAATATTTTGCAACAGAGTAGCGTATTTTTTTAATAAAGCCAAAAGACGCAACTGCTCAAAACCGAAACCGAAACCCGACGGAGGTCGGAGAAGTGGAGAGAAGAGATTGAGTGGCGGAAGTCACGTGGCTACACCCAATACCACCTAGAACACAAGGCCTGCGCGTTTCCTCCTCTAAACGTCATTACTAGTAGATCCCCTCAGCGCCCCCTAGCTAGCCCGGATGAGCAACATCGTCTGCTACATCGTCTGCTCCATCGCCTGCTTCGGTGGTTTGTGTAACAGATAATGAAACAGATGCTCACGAAGAGTGTCTCTTGGAAATAGCATACGACGAAGTTAGACGTTCACGTGGAGCGTCAAATGCATGAGTGAAATTGCCTTACTGCTGCGCGAACGGCTGAAAAGCCCTTCATTGGACGCTTGACGCTGACACTGAACGCCATTTTCGAGGGCGCTGTTTATACCCCGGTTAGCTGCTTCGAAGCGTTCTACCGCAGAACGAGCGCGCGCGCTAGAAATGCACCTCTCAAAGCCAGGAGCGCGTGCTAGCTCGCGCTCCTGGCCGAGGGAGCGTTCGCGTGCACGTCGCAAATGCACTGGAAGCTCGCTATCAGCTCGCGCTCAGCAGTCACGCACACAGCTGCGGCCGCAAGTGAATGCGACGTAGTTGCGACGCGGCCCCTACTCTCGTCAAGCTTCGGGGTGTTTGCCGCTTGGGGCGGGTCGGGGATCTACTAACGAAACGTCATGCGCAGGCCTTGTCTTCTAGGTGGTATTGCTACACCCGACCGTGCGTTTTTTTTTTTTTTTTTTTTTCTCCTCTCCGGTAGCAGACGACACGACATGCGGCGTGCGATGCGGCGTGCGGGAACTGCCCGCCGTGCGATTATTTTGCAGTTATGTTTGTTCCGCTCGTTGTTCTGTACTCCAAGATGAGTTGTTTTGTACATTGAGGAGTTGGAGATGAGTAGTGAGTGCCCGTGGTGAATTTCCATGATCGGCTCCGAAAAGAATACACCCAACATGTTGCGTGAAGAGCTGGCTCACATGTCCTGCATCCGAAAAAAAGTGGCATTGTGCGACAGAGTTTCCGAAAGATCAACGGGATCGGGACCAATGGCTGGCCGCAATTCCTGTAGAACATTTAAGGGCACCTCGGAAAGCGGACGCTACCTGATTTATATGCTCCTTGCATTTTGTGGAAAGTGATTACATTGAGTTCGCAGGTGTCAAAACGGAAATCCCATACCATTTAATTCAGCGAAGTATCGTCCACAACATTTGTTTGTTATTTTTTTGTTTTTCTTCAGTGTTGATTGTAAAAAAAAAAGAAAAAAAAATGTAAATATCGGAAAATGTTTGAAAAAAAAAAGTTTTACGGGGGATCGAACCCGGTCCTACTGCGTGTGAAGCGGACGTCCTTCCCACTGAGCTACTGAAGCATCTCTTTCCTGGTGGATCTCTTTTCTTAGTAATAATTCAGCCGCTAAACTAAGTTGGAAAGTTTGCTGTCGATTTTTCTCTAGCAAAAGCACTCCCGGGTCGAAGTCGGGAAGCACCCCGCTTTGGGGACATTCGCACCTTGTAAAGAAATCGTACGCGTGCATATTCAACTCGAAGTAGACACGTCGTGCTTGACGTTTGCGCGAGCGTTGTCTTCAGCCACGAGAAGGGAGCGACGGCTCGGCGACGTCTTCGTGCAAATCGGCTTGGTGGCCGGGCGTGTCGTACGGGATGAATACCAATTCTTTTGATCAGTCCCAAATTTCTCTTTTAATGTTAAACAGAATTCGCCGGTACCCGCGAACGACAGTTCTGAAATAGAGGTCCCACGCCCGTCGTCCGCTGCCATCGCCGTCCCGGCGAGTCCCACGATACGCGAAACGACGAACGCACAGAATGCTTCCGGTTGTCTGTGGAACTTTTTTTTTTTCAATCAACGTATTTACAGCTTTTTAGAAGCCACAAAAAATGGGTTTCATATTTTTTTCTATTTTTAATATTGAGTGTGTGCCTTCAGTGACCCACGACTTTGATTAAATTTGGTGGTCGCATCGATACCTTAGAAAACGGCCCGTGACCGCGGAAAAGAGAGTGAGCGAGACTTGAACCGGCCAGTTCTTGATCGGCGGTTTTCGGGCGGAAAGAAACCGAATTTCGAGCCGCAAATTCTGTTCTGGGTAGTTGAGCTCTCATATGTCACGTACAACTAAAAACCTCGGCGAGCATAAATACCCTGTCAGTGTCCCTTTAACGTTTTTACAAACTGCAGCGTGTTATTGTTAAATATGTCGAGTGTTTCAGAAAAAGAAGAATTATAAGTATGCCCAAGTAATAATAATAATAATAATAATAATAGTAATAATAATAATCTTTATTTGGACTCCTTGAGTCGTGGGTGGAGGGGAAAAAGGTAAACAAATTTTACCTGTCGAGGCCCCACCACCTGCACTGGTACGGGCCGGGCTCGGGCTTCACGGCTACATTCATGAAGGACCCACACCGGGCACGGGCCTTGCATTCAAGTCTACAAGGCGGTCCAAAGCAAGCAAAGCCGGCCATTACACTTTTCTAAATTTTTTTTAAGCAACTTTTTTTTTTTTGGAAGCGTGTTCGGGGGGAGGGGGGGTTGGGAGAGGAACCACAGGGGGGAGAAACAGATGCTCGAGCGTGTGTGTGCGTGTATGTTCTTGTACCTTTTGGTGTGTGTGCAGCTAATGCTCTTCCAGAAGACTAGCGGCGCGACGTTCCTTTTTCGCTCATCAACACGCACACGTACGCGACTAGAAAGCGCGCACCCTCGCTGGCGTAAACTATATGTACGTACGAGTGCGTGCAACCCCAACAGGCATGTACCCAGGGGGGGGGTGCCCACCGGCCCGGGCCCACCCCGAAATCTTCCATTTTGCTGGGGCCTCTTCTCCCCCCTCCCCCTCGTACAGCATTTTCTCATGGGCGCCCCCGCGCCCCCCCCCCCCCCCCCCCCCCCCCCCCCCCCCCCGAATCAAAATCCTGTATACGTGTGCCAGATCCCCAATATGGGTGAAGAGGTTTCTCCGAGGGGTGCTTTTCCTGAACAATTTAAGCCACGCTTGAAGAAGGAAGTCCCCTTCCGAAACGTCCGATTAAACTATCCAAGTTTGTTTGAACACCTCCGTGGCTTTTTTTACTATATATATATATATATATATATATATATATATATATATATATATATATATATATATATATATATATATATATATATATATACAACACGGGCACTTCACGTCATCGTACGTGGTCTCCGAGGAGGATATGAACGAATATGTGCAGATGAATGAACCGTACTTAATCCAATGAATTAAAGAATCCGAGTTTTTCAGGAACCCGCCGAAAGCCAAAAATTGGCGGAGCCAGGATTTGAACTCTGGGCCTCCCAATGTCCGGTCGGGTATGCTAACCACTACACCACTCCACTTTTTTTTTTTTTTTTTTTTCTTTATTGCCGACATTGACACAGAGCAACCAAGAAGTACAGTGCTGTAAAAATGCCGTCAATCACTTACCGACTGACGTGGCATGGTTAAAAAAAAATTTACATTTAACAGAGTTTCCATTGTTGGTAACCACTCCGGGACATTTGATCGAACCTTCCAAACTTCGACAATATAACGGACAGACTCGGAAAAATATTCCCCAACAGGCCTTGTGTCAACATCTGCATGGCGAACCGCCATGCGGCATCTCCATATGCTGTGAAGGCCGAGCAACATGAAAAGATCGAAAGGCACACAATTCTCGTTTTCGACTGCTAGGAACCGTATGCCATGGGAATCCAGAGGAAACTCCTTTTTTAGAGTACGCTGCAACACATCCCAGAAAAATATAGCGTCCCAGCAGTCCAAGAAGACGTGTTCAACTGACTCAGGTTTCTTACACAAAAAACAGT